TACCTGGGATTTTAGGCTCTTTATGTTGTCTATTGTAATGAAATATTATATTATTTAATAAATGTTATTAAATTAATCTGTCAAACACCAAGCGGTCACCGGTGACCGCGACCTATTGTTCTTTAATTGTGTCTATAAAACCGGTACTCGACGAGTTAATATCCTCAAGCAGATATATTTAATATTTATTAAGAAATAAGTGAAAAGGAACAGAAACATAACATTTAATAGAGAAAACTGTCGTAAAAAGGGAAACAATTTTATTTTCTTATGAAGTATTTTGAATCATGGAAATGTCAACTATAAAGAACTCTTTTTATGGTTTGTTTACAAATAGTTAACTACCTAAACAGACGGAGTATATATACTTTTCTAAGAAAGAAACTTGACATCAAACTAAAGAATACTTAAGCCCATATTTATATCTGAGGTCTACGAACATAAGTAACGGTCTTCAATATTAATCATTGCCTTGTATAAACGTATCATAACATATGATTGTATGTAAGTGTGTATGTATTGAATTTTTGACAATAAACTTGTCAAGGCTTGACATGGATATAGCAGCCAACGGGATTCTTATGGGAACAGATGTTTGTATCAAATGTGGTCATCAAAAGAATATGATGCTATGAAGTAGATACTGAGAGATCATGTCTTTATTAATTAAGGGACTTCAAAATCAAAAAAAGTTCACACTTTGACCTGTTTGTATGTTTGTGCACATTTATAGTATAGTGATTGGTTGAACCGATTTTAATGCGATTCTCAGAAAAGTAGAAAAGTGTTTGTTACATAGGAGAAGGTTTAAGTATATTAATTAACCGAGTTTAAAGAAGAGGGTGCTGAAGTCGGTTTTTTATACGTAATTTATGAAAGAATGATTAGTTTATTTTAATATGACAGATAACTTTATTAGAGTATAAAGTAAGTTTAAACTTTCGATATGGTAATAATTTATTGAAATAGCCAAAATGTTCCTTTAGTATCTTGGAATTTTGGAAGGAAAGTTTCAGAAGGTTCGATATTTTTCATAGTTTAATGAAAGCTTCAGTACTTTCAGTATCACTTTTCGCATACTACATTGGTATGCGAAAAGTGATACTGAAGACAAAATGTCAAACTCAATTCTTCAGTGAACAAAATTCGGAAACTAGAAAAAATTCGCAACATCCAATAGCCAGTTATTGCATTATTAAATAAACAATCTCAGTTATAAGATCACACACCACATGACTACAAACATACATAGGTGTTATTGTCCCATTGTCATGCTAATGTCGGGACTGACAGACGACGGTGACGGCCCAGTCGTGGCGTAGGGATGGCGTAATATTCAGCCATCAGTACTGAACCAGTTAGGTGAGTAGTGCACCTCCACGACAACTACAATGAAAGGTCATGTGTGAACTTGTCAACGGGTTTATATTGGCCATAATGTACAACATAGTAATATAACATTGTCTTGCTCCCTTCAAGAGTTAAGAGTTTGGGTGAAAACTTTGATTCAACCAACTTTATGTTGCTTTTATGATTGAGGTTTTTTTAAGGGGTAAAATCATCGAATGACCGCCTGGGTGAGGCGGGAGGGAGTGTCAGACTCTTACTGACTAAAAACCACTACGTTCCTTCTCCTGCACGTCGAGCCATAGGTTCTCGGCATTGGCCCTATTGAGCCCCATCTGTGGTGGTCTGATGGCTCTTTGAGGCGCGCGAGTTAATGATTCAGTTAAGTACTTTCCAATATTTTACCTCTAATGTATAGAGAGATCACATTATGTCTGTTTAATAGTAGTAAAGTATAAAGTATAAAAAATATTTCAAGTATACTGAATTATTTCCAAGTATTTCAAAACCTAGTAGTAGTAGTGGTAGTAAATTTTAAAGCCTAGTAAGTGGTATAGCTTGTACGATTTGAGGATTGAACACGCATCCTTGTGTTTGACAGTAGAACTTGCAGGCACTCAAACCCACAAGCAAAATTTAAAAAATAATTATCACAACATGATAATATCTATTACAGTGCATCATTATAATTATCCCATCACATATAAAATAATTATGTATTTGTGTTCTCTTCACCAAACATGTTGCAGGCAAAGATTGGAATCGGGATTTCCAAGTAATGTCACGATTCGCTGCGTTTCTCGTTAGTATTAGTCAAAAAGATTTATAAGGCAATTTCCTAAATGATATCACTGTACAAGTTTTTTTAAAATGAGATGACATAGGTGTTAATGTGACATGGTGTTTATTTATACTAAAAAGCGTCAAAAGTTATAAAATTAATGAAGCGCAATGACTAAGGAATATACTAATGGTGTACAATTTGACACAGAAGTTTTTTTTTATTGTATTGAGTAGCAATTCTTTGCTTTTTGTCACTAGGTCCAAAGTACTGGCTATTCCCAATCGCTACAGTCATTTTTGCCTTGAACCCAACCCGACCATATACAAGCAATTACCAGCATCGTTAATATTTGTCACAATTATATCGACATATCAACAAGTACGGTGTAGTAGACCATGCTACATTAATCATTAACAAATTGAATGTTATCAGCATCTCTAAGAGTCACATGACATATCTTAATTTGTCATTTTTGTTCGATTGATCGGAATAATTTAATGCACCTTTATAAATCTATCACTTGACCTCGTATGATTAGCAATCACAGAATATTTTTTATTAATATTTCGAAAGTCCCACTTATGTCATATCAAATTTAATTTGCTACGTCAAAACACTTTATAATTGTTTTTTAATTCAATATTTCCTTTCACTATGAAGATTCGTATAAATATTTTTCTAACTATCAAATTATCATTTAACCATACACGATACATTCGCCTTGACCTAAGAGAAGAGACATTAAACAGAACAAATGACACGCCTATCATTTCGACACTATTGTTAGTGAAAACAAAATATCGATAAAGTACTGATCAAGTTTCGATTTGCATATCACTCATGTAACTTAAAGTTCCACCTCTATGTACTCGCAGTTTCATGGTCAACGATACATCAAGTTTGGTATCATAATCACAATCATAATATCGAGGTGATACGTGATACATAACATTTTATCATAGAACACTTATGTAAAGTTACATACGTATATAACTGTCAAAAGTTCGAGGTTAAAACTATTAAAATTAAAAGAAAATCATACATTTCATGTTACCGTTATGTTGATAATTTGGCTAGTTCATAAAACAGCCGCAGGGTACGTAAATGCGTGACGAATAATACGCTATGATCGTGACCACTTGGCTGTCTCAATTACACTCTCCTACAAATTGTTTGAACTATCTATATATGGTGACAGTAGAAAAATATTAACAAATGGGTCATGGAGATGAATAAGATACGAGTGTGTTTAATTTTCACACAATAATATTGTTGACACGAGATACGCAGGGTGATTGCAATTGTTGTTCTCATTCAAAACTGTTATCTTTCACAACTTTTCGTTTGTAGAATAAATACAAAAAATATGCTGAGCTACGGTGACTAGTAGATTAAACTATACATATGACTGTAACTTAATATTTAAAAGAATATTTTATACATTAATTGAACGATTTTATATCGGAACACACCAAAGGCACTGCTTTGAAAATCAAAAAGCCGCTACTCGATCAGTAACTAGTTCGTATGTCAAGGTTAATGTATTGATCTGTTTTGCATATTGGCCTTTTAACGATATTGAATGTAATGTGTGATACATTTTACGCGCGGCCGCTTGCGGGTCTGCGACCGCGTGGGAAAGGCCGGACGTAGCAAGAATTGTCGGATTTCACGTTATTGTAAGCTGCATTATGTTATTGCAATGTTCTATGTTCTATTGTTATCGTGAAGTGAGATCGTTTGAGATCGCTTATTATCTCCGCGGCTATGTTTGTACTAGGAGATTAGATAGATGGCTGGAGGCAAATTAGTCTTAGATAGCTACTGGTTACGATACAATTTAGTATGTCAACTTTATTTAAGTTGACATTGTACGACAAGGAGATCGAGGAAATTGTTATCTTGTAAACCTTACTTAAATATTCATTAGGACATTGTAATTAATATGATTTAAATTGGTCATAAATTCGGTCATATTTATAATTAATTGTCGGAGTGAATCTGGGGTAAATATGAACCAGTTTTTTGAATGCGCTAATCTTTTGGATTAGCATTTGTATTTTAAAACTTTGTGTATTTGATCGACTCGAAAGAGTACAAAGTACTATATCAAAGTGAGGATTGTATGTATGTATGTATGTCACGGGCTACGGGTGTATCGCAATGCCACAGACAGACATGACAAAAGCTCTCGGTTGCATTACAATAGTGTTGTGACAAGTACCCTGATATAAAGATACAATACCTCGCTGGCTGGACCTGCTCTAGTACCGATCATTGTTGAGAGAAGAGTAATGGGCTATTGTACCTATACTTTACGTAGTACTTTCGCACTCGTACTCGTAAAAAATTATACAAATTAAATTTTGATAAAAGATTTTTTTGGCAAATATCTCAAAACTGACCAGTTGCCATCTAGCACCTAAATATTTGACCGAAAATACAATACCTAAAAGTGTTAGGTACAAGTTTTTGAATCGTAAGAAATTCAATTTTTAGCAAAGACATATTATTCATAGGCATGTAATTTAAAACCTGAATGATATAGAAAACAAGATTTATATTTATGTTGTATAAACTTGACCGGGTCATGTTTTTATACAAATTATGTAATACTAATACATGTCGTATATTTAAAATATTTAAACGTATTTTAACATTTTGAGTATAAAAAGCGGCGGAAGAAATGGCTCGTTTTACTTTCAAAATAGATTAAGAAAAAAATATGGAAGTATGTAAATCATTTTTGCAGAACTCAAACTTGAATATTAATATATATTAAACATCTACACCATAGTTATTTTACTATTGTCCCTGATGACGAATTAAAATCCCTACCACATTATTTTAATAGTATTCAGTTACTGACCTGCACTATAGAACCGACAAGAAGACCGAAGGCAAGTGCGATACTGGTGACCTGTGGTGCAGTCGAGTCTGTGATGGTGATACATGCCGCTACACCGATGGACACCAGGGTGAAGGTACCGACCAGCTCCGCGACCAACTGCCTCCATATCAGCTTGTTGTCTGTTACATCTGACAGACCGATGATTGAGGAGGTTCCTGGGGAAAAGGAGAAATTGATTTGTTATTTTTAATTAAATAATGCGTACCTATAGTCATATTTACTTTATAGTCTGCGTAAATAAATGCCTTTTCTACCTATAGCTATTACGCGATGTAGAGAAACAAAGTACATAGTAGTAAACAGTGATGATGATTATGTCGACATTATTTAAAAAAAGTAAGCTTTGGTACTGTAGACTTGACATAAATAATCGCAGAATCAACAACTGTACTACTGTCGACAACAGTAAGAGTTTAAAGTCTAGGGTGCAAACCTAAACTATACCTTAAAACTGTCTATGCTTATACGAACCGTATCGATTGAAGATTCGATACAAATCTAAAGCTACATTAAAATGTGCTGGAACTGATGCCAAGTAAATTAGGAAATTCCCGCATCTGTCTCTAATTCGAAGGAACAAATACGATTCGTTCGCAATTTAAGGAAAAACACTAAAAAGTGAATCGTGGATAAAATGAAAATAAGGAAGCCATTTGTATTGAAATAAAAAGTGCATTTGAATATCCATTTCAAAAATACATCATTATCTACATTGCTTTTTTTCGTATTAAAGTAAAATGACTGTTTTACACGACAACAGAAATGAGTAAAGCCTAATTTATAGAACAAAGTCAGTGCTGAAAATAAGACAAAACGACCTAATAAAGGTTAGTCAAAGTACTCAAAAGTTTTGACTAAATAATAATAAATTAAAGGTTAGGCACGACAATAGATAAACAACTGCGTAAACGTAATGCATTTGATGTTTTATTATAACCAATTATAGGTAGGTAGTTCTTACATTTCTAAGTCTTAAAACAAGGAAAGGTTAACCCACCATGACAATGTAATTCATAAATATTTATTTCTTCAGATACATACAGAAAAGTACGTGACTTAACATTAATAACAATGCTACCTACATTTCGATAATTATATGTTTCTTAGAGCCGATTTTTCCAATGCAAGATAAATTTTAACTGAGGAATACTTTGAATATTTGACAATTCTTCCATACTAAAAATTGACAAACGTCAATTTTATTCAATTCTACAGTTAGGAATTAACTGATGATTTAACACGTTCGAGGACAGAACGAGATTATACGTTATCGTTCGAAATTTTAATATGGCACAACGTACGATGACGTTCAAATAACATTTAAATTATACGGCAGAACGTTCATTTCCGATGAAAGTTCAAGTAAAAATCCTTTTGAATGTATCTTGTGTCACAACATATAAAATACCCAACACTGTACTGTCACGTAGGGTAAGTTTAGAACTATTTCAAATAAGTGTCGTTGATAGTGTGCGGTTACGGTATTCACATATGCACAACGTGTTTATACGTCCCGCACTCCTATATTCAGCGCGGCTGTGTCACTGTGTATATTACTTTAATGCAAATTAATGATTTTACAGAGTGACATTGATATTTAATGAGTTATTGTGTGTTTTTAGATGGATATAAGCGCAAAATAGGACACAAGATAAACATGTTTGATGATTTCGACACCTCCAACGAGGTGGATTCTAACCAAGATGCGTATACACGTTGACGTGATAAAACGGTTGTGTCATGATATGTTTAAAACATTATTTTTTTATAGGACACTACGTACTGATACGTCGTATAATTTTGTATAGACATTTACTGTGTCATTCTGAAAACCCGACTCAAGTGGTAGCGTCCTCGAACGTGTTAAAAATCGATCCTTAGTCATTTAAGAACATTTCACTGAAGACGCCAGTCACTTCTTAGTATGTTTTTATCAAGTAAGACATTATACATTGAAACGGTAACAATTGAATAAACATTCAACGATAAAATATTTATTTTATACGTAAAAGACTTCTTAAGAGTGCCAAGTAGTGGTTTATAGAAATTGTCATTGGAAAATTATTATTTTTAAGTAGGAACATTAATTTACTAGCTTTGTTAGTGATTTCGTCCGCGTGGAATAGTGACTTTGGATTAAATAGGACTTCACATCTCATCCCACGTAGGTGGTATCGTAATAATTTGTAGCTACATATATCTTGACCCGACTAGTTAGTAATATTCATCTAAAATTTGAAGTACCTAAATGCGTCCAGTACTTTTTGAGTTTAGCCCGGATACATATACGTACAGACAAACAGACAAAAACTCAAAACTATATTTTTGGCTTCGATATCGATAGTACCTAGGTCATTACCAAAATATTCTTTTAAAAAATATCGTATACATTTTTGACTTTCTTACGATTTTGTTATATGTAGGCATAGCTTTATAGATTATTCTGGTTTTCAACGATACACAAAGAGTTTTTTCAAATTATCAATCAATGTGAGAACTCGATCAACAAAAAGTTTCTTGAATAAGGTATTCAAGACTATTGAATTACATGCAGTTGACAGTTTGATATTAATTTTTATTCAGGATTATACAATTTTTATTTATAAAATACCGATAACAATATAATTTAACCGATTTTATGCTATCGAGCGATAAATCGTTTTCTACTAGTCCATGGAACTAATTTTTCATAACTAAGCATACCTAATAAATCTTTTTCCTTTAAAAAAGTGCGATTTTATATGATTGTAGTTATAATATTATTTTAATTTTGTTATTGTTATTGTTGTGCTATTTTTGTGGTAGCGAAGTGCCTACTATATATAGTTTGATATATATATCATCCCCAAAACAATGACAGAGGTAAATCAAAAAACCTGGCAACGTGCGAAAACCTGAGTATTTTAAGATACTACGCATTTTAAATAATTATCGTCATTATTAAAATCGAGTTTTTCTTCTGCACACGTGTAATTAAAATGTATTTTAATAATAATTACATTCATATGAGGAAATGATTAATTCTCTATTAGTTATTAATCATTTTGTAGAAAAATAAGCAAACCCGTCTGGAAATCAGGTGTTGAATCTAATTTTTCGTATAATTTGACGTATTTACATTATTTTCAATGACTTTGTATAAAACATTATAATAAAATTTACAGTATTTATATTAAAATAAAATTGTAGTGTAATATAGTATAATAAATTTTTCAGTGTAAAAGTTGTAACAAAAGTTACAAATTCGAGAAATTCAAACACCCCTTAAAATTCGGTTCTTAAAACATGCTGTATCATCATCACGTATGTATATTAATAAATGAAAAATATCTTGATTTAACATTATCACACCTATTTAAATACGGGCCTAATTACATATTCAGGATGATAAGTATGGAAATAAATACTCGTATGTATAAAAATTTTCATATAGATTTACCTACGTATAATTATGTATACGAAGTTTGGAATTATGTGGGTTATTAACTCTGAATGTTTATCTTAAAATTATGTCAATGCGGCTCTCAGCAGTTTTACTCTCCAAAGATAAATAAGAAAATAATTCTTACAATATAGCTATACCATTTGAGTAATAGGAATACTAACAATTTTATACCAAAAGTTCTAGAAGTAATTTGTTAAAATAACACGTGAAACTCCTGCGCATGCCATCATTAGTATTCATTGAAAACACTCAATGATATACTACAACAACTCACTTAATTTATTACGATAAGATACATTGAATTTAAATTTTTATTTTGTGGTTAATTCGTTAAAATAAACTTAGGTACAAGCAATAAAAATACATTAAACATACGACTGCGCATGCGCCGATGACGCTTGACTATCTCACGCAGTGTTTATTTACATGTAAATATTTATATTATATTGGAGCTATAACTTTTTAATTGAACGCATTATTATTTATTGAATAAAAATAAAATAAGAGTATATCAATTGATTAGTAATTTCAGCCGTTATTCTAATGATACATAATGCGCATACGCATTATACAGTTTGCACACAATCGCACGTTTTCTCAAAAAAATTTATATCTATTCACGGTTTAATAAATGTAATGGACAAATATAAAAGACTTACTCTTCTGCATCTCATCCATAGCGTAATCCGTTTTCATTTTGTCGGTTTCAAAATAACTTTTCTATGAAATAAACACTTTCGAGTTCAGTCCCCGCTGTTATAACTTCACCGACCGCACTATTTCGAAATTCGAATTAAATAAAACACCGTGAAAGTGTAATTTGATTTGTAATTGAAAAATTCCGAAGACGCTCGCTGAGAGCTGTTGTGTTTCGTAAGGCGTGCGTGTGAGACTACCTTTCCTCGTGGCTACATACACTTGAGTGCGCGAGATCTCGCTTGGGGATGACAGGTACAGCACTACAGACGCCGGGCGGCGAGTGCACCTTACTTTTTATTCTATGTATCGTGAACCTAGATGTTAGCGAATTAATTCAGAACTGGCCGTCTGACGTCATAATTGCGGAAACAAAAAAGTTACGGAATAATACGTTCGACTTAATTATGTTCTCTGGGCTTATTCATAGATTGATATGGGATTTTCGCAAATCGTTAGTTTGTCTCGAAGTTTCTTAACGATGGAAAATTTTTCATAATTGATTATGACTACCCGTGCAGTGTAAGTTTGATAAAATAAAATAATTCGATTAGAACGAAGTAACCTATTCCGATAATTTTCTAAAGTACCTTTATAGATCGTGTTAATCAATAACATAGCGACAGCTCTATTATATTATAAAAAAGAAACTAAAAAGTCAGAAACACAAATAAGTAAGAGTTGGTCCGAGGATGCGTCCCTGAGTTATCCCACAATATTTTTAATAGGTACAAAATAAGACATCAAGTTTACACAAAACCATCTTCCTCTTATTTACATTATATCAGGTTAAAGAATCTGTGGCTAACCAAACTATTACTTACCGGCACAATTTAAAGTAATTTTGTCTAATAAAGTACCGGTTTCGAAAACGATGGAATGAAGGAGATAATGCTTCATTTATTGCTACAATGTAGACAATCACATTGACGAACATGTACATATGTTATAGATGTATGTTCTATTGTATTTCTGTACTCTATGACAACAATATATCAATCACTGCTCCACTGC